TTTTTTCTTTTTAGGGGGAATGGTTAGCATTCAACACATGGATCTCTAAAGAAACTTTGTAGGGGCACCTGGGTGGCTCAGTTGGTTAAGCATCCGACTTCAGCTCAGGTCATGATCTCATGGTTCACAAGTTCAAGCCCCATGTCGTGCTCTGTGTTGACAGCTCAGAGCCTGAAGCCTGCTTTGGATTCTGTTACTCTCTCTCTCTGCCCCTCTGCTCATGTGCTCTCTGTCTCTCTCTCTTAAAAATAAATAAATATTTTTAAAAATTAATTAAAAAAAAACCTGTGCAATCATGGCCAGGACATAACTGCTTGATTGGGGAAAGAAAATGCAGAAAAGTTGACTGTTGGGAGGCCATGTGTTCCAAACACTGTGAGATGACTTAAGAGTTCCCCCTTCAAAAGTCTATCTTTAAATCACGATGGGAAAACCATTTATCAGAAATACCAATGTGCTATATGCTCAGGCTTGAGTTCCTAGAAAAAATGGAACAATAAATCATCTTTTTTTTCCTATAGAGTCTATCAAAACTCCCATATAAATCATGCCATGTTTAAAAATTATATGTGTAATGAAGTATTCTGAAAATGGCAGTTCAAACTCAGATCTCTTAGTCATAAAGCTAAAACACCACTAACACAACCAAGTGATATATCTGTCCATTGTATCTTCCTTAAAATGTCACAATTTGATACATGCAGAATAAAAGGATCATTTTAAAAGGTGTATCACATATAATTAATAATCAAAATATACTAGAATAAGGATATAATTGAGTCATCTGCACATTCTGTACCCTTTTCATACATGAGCAACCCAAGACTCTGAAAATTTAAGTAAGATACTCAAGGTCGCACAACTAATCTGTGGGGGAATAATGCTCTAGTCCAGCCTCCTTGTTGCTGTAGTCCAGTTTCTTTATGCCTTTGGGTATCAGAGGTTTGGAGGGTTATAAATTCTCACTCCATGTGACACCGAGTGCTCGGATATATAGCTTACTGATCTCTCTGGACATATCTTAGCCAAGCAAACCTAACCAATATGCTATATTCGACAAAAACACAGAAAGTATAAGAGATAAAACTATTTTTTCTAAACAGTGTCTATTATACTGAAGATAGTTAAATCATAATAACTAGGGAGGCAGGAAAATTGTATGTGGTTTGCTTTGATCATTTCCATGGTCTGTGTTGTAACATTTTAGGACAGTTCAAATGCAATAACAGCTGAAATAAAAAATGCATTAATATGAAACCATTAACAATCATCCTGAAAATCTGTATTGCAAATATTAACTATAATTTTACTATGTTCAGAATTTTTCCCAAGGAAATGTAAGGGTCTAAAGATGACTAAGAAATAGTTCTTCCCATTGAGGAATGTCTAACCGAGGACATAAAAGAAATCTATAGAGAACTAAAATCAAACAGGAAAGGATACAGGCCATAGACTAGATGCAAGTTCAAGGTGATGGAAACATCAGAGAAGAATGTTATCAACATCGATTTACCTTATTCATGGCAAAGCTACTCAATTTTCCAAAGAGCTTTTCAATTGACTGATTTTGAAACTTTTTATTCTCCAAGCAACATATCCCCAGCTGGAGCAACACAATAAAAATAATTGATAACAGCTTTTCGGCACTGCAGTAAGAGTCCTGTATCATAAACTTACTTAATCCTCACAACTCTATGAGGTATGTGTTCCTAATAACCCCATTTTTAAAGAGGAGGAAATTGTGGCTTAGTGTAGTTTAGTAAATTGCCCAAATTTGCACAGTTATTAAGTAGGGAACAAAGATTTGAACTTAGGCAGTATGAATCCTACACCCACAGTCTAAGCCCCCCACTGTACACACCACTACTAACAGTCACAAAAGATTTGAATAACTCGGTTGACTTTGTATATGTTGTTATTAAAAAACACAATAGTTAAAAATTAGTGGCAGCTCTCATGAATAATGGCCTTTGTTTTGGGCAACTTGATTTGTAGACCCCTTTTCTAGCATAACTATGGTAGCAATTATTGACTATTTGATGTTCTATGAATGTATAATAATAAAAATGTAAAATATGCATATAAGAACTGATTTTGTTCCTATTATCTGGTTTAAAATAGATGAACATATGTCTGGATCATTCAAAAGTGATAGCCTATCACTAAGAAATGTATTTCAAATAAAGATAAAGCGTTTTCTGATACTTTTACCTGATGGGAGAAATTTCTATTGACCCTGCACTCCTTTGTAGTCTGAAGATATAAGTTCCAAATGAGTAACATCAGCTAAGGGTCTTTATTTGAGCTTCTGAAGCTCAAAATGATATGATCAAAAATGTCTCCAAGTATTGCCAAATGTTATGATTCCTGTTCATAGACAAAAGTCAAAGGAAAATCCATAAAACTGAGTAAATAATCTCATGTTGTTACTGACAGCTTTCTCCACGCTGAGCTATTTAGGTATTAAGTGTAACAACGGAGAGTCATAGAAATATAGAGATTCTGTGTCTTTGGTTACATTGTGACCTAGAGAACAATGACCCTACTCATACTTACAAACATACATATTTATTGGGCAAGAATTGGCCTGCAGTTATACTGCTATAATCTCTACTTTACATATGAGATTACTGAGGCAAAGAGAGGTGATGTGACTTGTCCCAGACCACTCAAGTGTGCGTTCGTGTGTGTGCCCATGTGTGTGTGTGTGTGTGTGTGTGTGTGTGTGTGTGCGTGTGCATGAGTTGCACAGTGAGGAGAACGGAGGAGAAGGCAGAATGCAATATCTGGATTTCTAATGAAATGTTTGTTTTTCCTTTTTTTAAATTTATTTCCTTGAAGACACACATATTTATGGTCCACAATGTTGCAGCTGTAAAATATGGCCTAGTCTGCTCCTCTCATTGAAAGATGAGTTAATACAATGGGACATACAAAATCTGTATTAAACATCTCCATGACAAGGTCACAGTGATATATACAAGTTAATTACAGCTGAGCCATCAGATAAATGCTACTGTCTCCTAAGTTTCTGTAAGATCCCCCTAAGAACTAGATTTGTCTTTAGCAGGACTGCCTTCACTCTCCCATGATGACTGGACCCTTGAGGTCCTCTGACAAAGAGAGGTGTACCTATATTGCAACGCTTCTCAACAGCTGGACTATGGACATTTTGGACTGGGTAACTGTTCGTGGTGGGAGACTTTATTGCGCATTGAAGGAGATTTAACCATTATCTGGCCAGTTTTCACCAGATGTCAGTTGTGATGATCAAAAATGTCCCCACGTATTGCCAAATGTTCCCAGGCATGATGGGGTAGGGAGAATCAGCCATGTTGAAAACCTACTTCACCACAATACGATTTTAAAAGTTGAGCTATGGTTCCCATTAATAGTCCTAGCTATGTAACCTCAGGCTGGATTACCATTGGCTGAATCATACTTTCAATCTAATATCTATAGAGCATTGAACAGGTATTAGATACGGTGTACATTCATATGTTGTGTCTTGCCCTTGAAGAACATTTTACATAAGTACATAAACTTCATCACCAATAATGAATGTAGTTTTTACAAGTTTGTAATCTACATAAATGTATGTAATTTTTTCACTGCATTAAGTCTTAATTTTTACTCTATATTACAAGGATTTTTCTCATGTTTTGATGTGGCCTATATAACCTTTATTTTATGAGCCATCTCATGATACTCCATTAGACAATGATTAATGTCTGCTCTATTTTAAAATATCGATCATGGTTCCAATCATTTACTATCGTAAGTAATACCTCAATGAACACATTCATATTCATGTCTCTTTGAGAATAGTCCCAGAGCTAATTAGTAGGCCAAAGTGTGAAGATATTTAATAATATGTGATGCAGAGTACTGTGAGGTTTCTAAGGAATATAAAAGCTCTGAGTTCAACATAAGCATCACATGGAAACACTGGCTTTCCTGCACCTTCTAAAGCACTGTTAATAACCATGTTGAGTACTTACTATGACAGTGCCCTGTTTAAGTACTTTTCATGTGTTGCTCATTGATACTCATCCTAATCAGATATAGTGGGTATTGTTATTAGCCCTACTTTACAGAAAAGAAACCTTAGCAAGCAGAAGGTTAACTATCTTGCTCGAGTTCACACAGCTAGCTTGTGGCAGAACTGAGATTTAAACCCAGTCTGGTTCTAAAACCTTTGATCTCAGGGGTGCCTGGGTGGCTCAGTAGGCTGAGTGTCCAACTTCGGGTCAGGTCATGATCTCAGCATTTCGGATTTCGAGTCTCATGTTGGGCTCTGTGCTGACAGCTCAGAGCCTAAAGCCTGCTTGGTATTCTCTGTCTTCCTCTTTCTTTGCCCCTTGCCTGCTTGTGCTGTCTCTCCCTCTCTCTCAAACTAAATAAACCTTGAAAAAAATTTAAAACCTTTGGTCTTAAATGTTCTGCTATAGAAAGATCCCCACACTGCTCTCTACATTTTGCTCACAGGAAGACTATGCAGACAGGATGGCAAGATCCTTAAAAATTAAGGTTTCAATCTATAAAATTAACATGTAGTGAATGAAATAAAACTTATGTAAATGCCAATGTGAAGGTAATGTCAATAGATATTAACGTATGATTTAGGTATTGTAAGATCCTAGATATGAAGCTCAGATTCCTAATCCCAGATTTAGTTCAATAGTACAGAACAGAAAAAAAGTCTCCTTACGATCACTGTTGGGCTTTTGCTCTGGGATAGATGTGTACATTAAAACTTATCCTTTCACTTTAAAATGTTTCTAAAATTTCTAAATGCATTTTCTTAATATTTTATATAAAGATGAGTTAATAACAACCTAAAAAATTAAAGCCAATATTGTCATATATACTATCATTGCCCAAGTTGGCTCATATATAATATTAGAACCTGGCTTTATTCACACATTTTATCACATTTACACTAAAATATAAGCTTCATGAGTGTGGAAACTTTCTCATGTTTATTATTCTTTCTCCAGTATTTTACACCAGCCCTGGTACATAGTGGCTACTAAGCAAATGTTTTTTGAGTGAATCGATGAGTCCTTGTCCTATGCCTACATGATGTGCTTACTGAGGGATACACCCATGAATAATGTTCCATCTTCACTCTCAAAAGTCTTATAGTTTAAAAGGAATAAGTATGCAACAAGTGAGTACAAAGTATTGTGGAATATATTAAAATAGAATATGATAATACACAAGGTTCCAAGTAGTACAGAATGTGGGATGATATACTGGGAAGAAAGGATTAATCAATATTGCAGAGCTTAGTTAGGCCTGGATGGGAGTTGAAAAGAAGAGAAAGTTTCCTGAGTTGTCAAGGAAATACACGGAGGATGTGGCCTGGAGATAGAAGGCAATGGATAAATGCATGGAAGCATGAGATAGAATGGTGTGTTCAGAGAATTCTAAGCAGTCCACTCTTACAACCAAATACATTGCAAAAAAAAAAAAAAAAAAAAAAAGATAGAGTACTATATGGATTAAAACATGACTTGTCTAATCAATGGCATCAGGAAGAGAGCAGGTTGTAAAATTTCATAAATCAGTGAGGAACCTATTTCATTCTTTAATTTGCAAAGATTCATTGAACATCTACGGTTGAAGGCACAAGCCTAGACCCTGCGGAAACATGAGTCTTGGGGAGCAAGACAAACAGTATTCTATTTGCATGGAGGTTAATTTCTAGAAGATGGAGACAGACAAGACAATGAACAGGTAAATAAAAGTTAACAGTAATTTTCAGTAGTCAAAAGGACAATGATGAAAACGAAACAATTATATGTAAGAAGACAGGATTCTTCTTTAAATTGGGTTATATGAGGCCTTCTGAGAGGTAACATTTGAACGGATCTCGTTATTTGGAAAGAACCAGGTACACAAAGGTCTAAGGACACATGGTTCTAGGTAAAGACAACAAAAAGTGCAAAGCTGAAATTAAAGGTAAGGTTGCGCTTGGCATATTTGAGAAAAAACAGAAGAGAGGGTACCCGAATTTTAGTGAGCAGAGAGAGGGAAGAAAGGTAGTAAATGAGTTCAGGAAGGCAGTCAGGAATGAGTTCAGTTTTAGGCCTTAGTACGGTATTTGAATTTCTTTTTCTAAGTGTTCCTAAAAGTCACTGAAAGGCTTTACACAGGAGACTGCACCATATAGAACAGATGTAATGCTTAGTACCAAAATCAGAGAGACCAGTTGGGACATGATTTCCAGTAGTCCATAAGAGATGATGGTGGCTTGGCAGGATGGAGATAATAGATTTGGCGAGTGGCGGCACCAGTTCGTGGGACTGATCAGTACTACTGACCGTAGGCAAATGCTTATTTGCAGGACTGTTCTGGTCAATTAGTTACAGATAGATCCTTCAGAGAAAGCCGGTTTACTCACTGTCTCCCTTTTTTCTCTCCCCAGCACTGAAATGCCGGGTAACTATGCTCTCTGAGAGAATCATCTTCTCTGTGACCTGGTTCTGCCTTAGGAAAGAGAAGCTGACTCTCAGAATCTTACAGGAACAATTACACTCACAGAGGCTCTGGATTTTGCATTTCTACAAGACATGGTTTGACTATATGGCATAGGGTAGTGCTTACCTCAGGGTCCTGGTGGAGCGCCTGGCATACTGATTAGGACACTTCACAGTGATTCGGCATCTCCTCCAGCCTCTTACAGGCCTCTGTCTTTGGAACACCTGCAGACTTTGGTTTAGAAAAGCACAGTGATTAGCCCCCAGTGTCCTTTTCCGGCAGAGCTTTACTTAATTAACCCTTTCATAATGTTTGCCTTATAATATTGGCCTGATCCTCACTCCTCCCGACTCAGAGGAGACAGTAAATGAAGAGACAACAGTGCTTTGAGACCTCCCTGTGGCCATTTCTTCATGCAGGCCTACAGGGCTCTTCCTAATCTTTGCAATCCCTGAGAATCCAATTTCCATGACATGTCCCTGGAAATCCTTCGTAGTCCCAAAATAGCTCACCATTTCTCAGAAAAATCTAAAACATTGGTTATTCTATTTTTAAAAACTTTTTACCGTAACATACAATACATGCATACAAAAAAAAAAAAAAAAACCCACACAAAATGCATTGCTTAGTCAGTTATTAGAAGGTATACCCAAACCAACCCACCAAGCACAACTCAGGTCAAGAAAGAGCACTTTGTCAGCTAACACAGGAGTCTCTCATATACCCTGACCCAAACATTACCACTAATCCCATCTTTATAATCACTTCTTTATAGTTCTATTTCCCAAGTGTGCGTCCTTATGGTCCATAGTTTAATCTCCCAGTTTAAAAATGTGTCATGTCTTTTAAGTCTATTTTAACCTACAGGTTCCCTCTACATCTCTTTCATTTCCTTGTATCTGGTGAAAAAAACGGGGTCATTTTGCTTGTAGAGTTTCTCACCATCAAGGTTTTGCTGATTACATACTCCTGGTAGAGTTCAACATCTTCTGCCCTCTGCATTTCTTGCAAATTAGCGGCTGAATCCAGAAGACTGATACATTTCATGTTCAATCACTTTGGCAAGACTAGAGGTGGCATAATGCTGTTTTGTCATGAGGCACAACATGTGTGTGTGGTCCCTCTTTTTATTTCGAAGTTTATTTATTTTGGAGAGAGAGAGCACCAGTGGATGAGGGGCAGAGAGACAGGGAAAAAGAGAATCCCAAGCACACTGTCAGCACAGAGACTGACTCAAGGCTCCATCTCACCAACCCTGAGATCATGACTTGAGCCAAAATCAAGAGTCGGAAGCTTAGCCCACTGAGCCACCCAGGTGCCCCGGTTTTCACTATGATATCAGCAAATGTTGATGCTTGTGCCTGCATCAATTAGTTCATCGGGGCTTGCAAAATGCTGATATTCTAACTCTGGCATTTCCTTTCCATTTATTAGTAGGATTACTTTTATAAACAGAAAATGTTTCATATGTTTTTTGTGTACTTTAGTGGCACAGTTCATGTATAGAAGGTAGAGTAAATATTTGATTATTTCTTTCAACTTTTAGAAAGAAGTGGGGTTCAGGGTATTGTTTCACAGGGCTCCTCCTGTCTTGTCTCATGCAGTTCACAGATACAGCAGTCTCCTTTCTGAGACTGCCTGGTTTTGTCCCCCCCACCCCCACCCCGCCTTTATTTAGAATTCTTCTGCCTTTTCCTCTTCTATTTCTAACCTGCTCAACACTGAATCTTCTCTTAAGCAGTTTCTACTCAGTGTGGGGCCTTGTCCTGGAAGGGAGCATTTGGTGACTTAGTTTTAAAATGTTTATGGCAGCTGGACTGCAACAGCCCCTTCAGGCATTATAGACTCTGTTACCGGAGAGGACAGACCTACACTCAACTTCCACTGCTGCCCTCAGATCGGTTCACAGTATTTTAATTTTTTTTTTCAACGTTTATTTATTTTTGGGACAGAGAGAGACAGAGCATGAACGGGGGAGGGGCAGAGAGAGAGGGAGACACAGAATCGGAAACAGGCTCCAGGCTCCGAGCCATCAGCCCAGAGCCTGACGCGGGGCTCGAACTCCCGGACTGCGAGATCGTGACCTGGCTGAAGTCGGACGCTTAACCGACTGCGCCACCCAGGCGCCCCAGGTTCACAGTATTTTAAGGCAAATGCTTATTGGCTAGTTTGAGATTCTAGTCTCAGGGTCCCTCTGATACCTTGTTGCTTCTCTCTGCTGATGTCAACACAGATACGGATGCTACTCAGGTCCGAAACTGTCACTGGCTTGTCCTCACATGCTTGTACTTGGGGATTCATGGAGATACCTGTCACTTAGTTTTGTCATGAATGTTGTCCATGGTTTCGGTTTTGCTATCTAGTTTTTAGGTTGGTTTCATGTGGGTATTCAGAAGGATTAATAGACAAACAGAAAAGCTATGTCTCTGCTACAGCCATCTTCTCAGAACTCCCTCCAATTAGTCTAAGTTTTAGTTCATACCCAAGCATCACTGCTGAAGTTCTGGATATGTTAGATTGGTGAATACCAAATATGTAATCCTGATATTCCACATGTCTCAAAAGTCATCATGATACTCTCTTTAAAAATTCCTCCAATAATAATTCAATTAGTCAACCAATTTAACTAATCAGTACTCATGCTATGCGTGATGTAGAACCATTGGGTATTAAAGATGGAAGAAAACACAGTAACTTATTTATTAATTCATTTACTTATGCATTCTTCCATCAAACATATGTGACTAATTACAGACAACATACTGTGACCTAGGACAAGAAGAGGATATGGCTCAACTTTTTTCACTATGATAGAAATAGTCCCTTCGGCACATATGTCGTAAATGCATCTGCTGTGTCATCTTTTATGCTGTGTCCTGCTCTAGGGTCATAGTGAATGTAGAAACTCTGTGGCCACATCAGGATTTGCTACCTTGGGAACATCACAAGGCTTCTCTGAGTTATACCCTCAAGATGTGCATAATAGTACTGTTTACCTACAGGTGTTTTTTTTTTTTTT